TTTCTTAATGTTAAACAATGTTAAGAACATTAAGAAAGAACAAAACATAAAGAAGAACTATACGGTAAACAATAATTAATGTCGAGATACTACCGTATCTTCTGAAATATATTATTTATCGCTTCGTTTTTTCTCGTTTAAGTAAGATAACATATGATATTTAAATTTTGATGAATATGGGAGTTGAATTTTTATAATATAACTATAAATATTTTTTACTTATCTCTCACTTATTTGCATGAAGTATCGAGTTTTTGAACGTAGTTATCTAATTGAGTGCAAAATATACAAATATATTATTTAATAGTTGTTTTAGAAAAATTTCTTTTTTGCAATATACATTGATTTGCTTAATGTATTTTTTTTATCATTATTCAATTATATGAAAAAAGGAGCTAAATCAAGCTAGGTGTTCTACAGCTTACTACTTACTATACAATATTATTTCATTGTGAATGACTCATAAAAATTATAGAATCAGGTATCAAGTTAATATTGTATCAATAATTCTCCTACTAGGGTGTGCACAAAACATATTTGATGTATTTCTTGATTATAAAATATTATAAAATGTTCATTACTCAATAATTTTATTTTAATCCTTTCTGCACAAATGATCTAGAAAATATATACATAATAAAGAATGTAGAAAACAAAGTCTATAATTATTACAGTGAACTTAAATTTTTTCTTAAATGTAATCATGTTTAAATTGTAGGAAAATAAAACAGTAAATGAGGAAAATATTAACATGATCTTCATATATATTGTGTTCTTTACAATATAAATTTTACAAGAAACTTGTATCTGTAATAAAGCTCAGATGTTTGTAAATGGCGAGAATATAAAATACACAGTTCAATTCTTCCATTCTAAAAATTTTCCCCTATTCTAAATCTATTAATTTTATTTAATCAAAGTTTTTGTGCTATCTCACATGTTACATTGTTTTCTATTCCACCTATAAATGTTAGAATGAAAAAGAATGAAACATTTTTGTTTTGTGCCATTCAATTAAATACAAAAATCACAAAGAATTTATAATAGAGAAAATATTCGAACTCAATGATTCTAGAATAAAAAACTAAAAATTAAAAGCTAAATATAAAAATGAATTGTATTATGAAATAAGCGTTTTCTATTAAAATTTAATATAAACAGGTGTAATTACTGTTCAACATTTGAACGTTCGCAATTCGTACTATTCACTCGCAGTTCGCATACTACATCGCATTACAATACGAGAATCATGTAAAATACAATTATTTCATCTCCATACAGCACAGATATACATAACACAAAAATATATTTCTCTAAAAAACAAATATCAACATATATTTCAATAATATTAAAGTATCTAAACGATTGTAAAAATAAAAATAACTTTAATTTATAAGTCTATATATTAATAATCCAGACAAATACGTATATCAAATTGTACAACTGATATCTAATTATTTGTTGTTGTACAAGACATCACAATAACAGATAGATTGCGAATATTTAAAAATCGAAGGGATGTTGGTACACTTAACACATATATAAATCAAAATAATATATATATATATATATATATATATATATAATACAAAAAAATTAATTTTATATCCGTGCTGTGTGGTTTTCTTTATATTTTTATATAATTTTGATCAAAAATCTTACTTTCAACTGCTCTGTTTGTATATAATAAAATAGATTGTGGGCGCTATATATTATCATTAGATATTGGCAGGGCGGTTTCGAAATAATAGCATGTTTAATTGTCAAATTAGTGGCGAAAGTTACTTGGTAACTTCGTGCATTGCTTGTGCCAAGTATTCTATATTTTTTGACGTCACACTAGCCATGGAAATACGGCCGTCTTTAGTCAAGTAAATGCTGAATTCCTTTGTAAGTTTCTCTACCTGTTAGAAAATCAATAATAAAAACCGATATTATAATAATAATTTTTGGTTTTCTTATTTAAAGAACATTATTACTTAAGCATATTTAGATATTAATATAAAAAAAGGTTACCTCGTTCGGCTTTAGACCAGTATAACAAAACATCCCGATTTGATCGGTGATGTGAGACCAATCACGTGTGCTACCGTTCTTTTTCAGGTTGTCACGCAACTTTGTGCGAACCGAAATTATGCGATCGGCCATACCCTTTACATCGTATAGCCATTCCTTTCGCAGTTGAGGATCACCGAGGATCTCATTAACTATACGAGCTCCGTAAATGGGTGGGTTTGAATACATTGGCCTGATCAGAATCTTCAGTTGTGACAGAGTGCGTGCAGCCTCGTCTTTACTAGATGTTACTAAACTGAACGCTCCAATACGTTCACCTAAAGAAATAAAAGAAATAAATATATTTTTAACATATGTATATATATATATATATATATAATTTTTCTTATACATACCATAAAGACCCATATTTTTTGCATAGGATTGAGCTAAAGCAATTGTGTGACCTTCCTTAATAAATAGTCTAACTGCATAAGCATCTCTTGTAAGATCTCCTATGGAAAAATGAGACAAGATTATAAAAAATGTTAGAGTACACTAGTATTAAAATTATAAGATTTATTAGATATTATAAAGTTAATATTAATAGATATATTATTATAAATTACATTTAAAAATACCTGAGGCAAAGCCTTGATATGCCATGTCAAAAAATGGGAACAGTTTCTTCTTCTTAAACAGAGTAGACAATTCTCCCCATTGCTCCGGTTTGGGATCAACACCAGTAGGATTATGAGCACATGCATGTAGAAGGATAATTGATTTCTCAGGAATATTCTATTCACAGATAATATCATTAGTATGATAAAATATTAATTCCTTAAACATTATTAATGTTAATTAATGTAATGCAGCAGATTTTATAAGCAATATCACGTAAAATTTCAGTCCAACAGTAATTATTATTTATATATGTTAGAAATCACATTATTAATAATTAGAAAACATTTATATTAGTATATAAACGTTAGTTATTACAATTTTAAATAATATTAGATAAAATTTTGTGATCAATATTTATCTTTTAGATATTTTCTACCGATGCATACATTAATATTAACAGTAATAGTTATTCCTTTTGTTTAAAAAAATCTTATACTAACAGATATATCTTCTACTACTCCTTTAAAATCTAAACCACACGTCTTTGGATCATAATAGCGATAAGATTTGACTGTAAGCCCAGCAAGTTTAAATATAGGATTATGGTTCCCCCATGAAGGAGTTGGTAAATAAATTTCCTTATTGCCAGGAAAATAACGAGATAAAAATTGTGCTCCAACAAAGAGAGAACCAGTACCAGAAATTCCTTGGACTGTGGCGTTCTAAAAAGAAAAATCTTTGTTAAGAAAAAACTTTACATATTATTGGCCATTATCATATTCACCAATCCATTCGCGACAACTTCATTTCCATCTCCAAGAGCTAGATTAATACTATGCTGGCAAAACTCGATATTGCCAGCAATTGTAGAATATTCCTTGTCCAATTCTTTAATTCGTATTTTTTCTTCTGCCTATTATTTAATCCAAAATACATTTCATATTATATTTTATGATAAATAAAACTGTATTTTATCATTATATCTATATATGATATTAATTTTTTCTCTTCTAAAATTGATATTTTATTTATAACTAACCTTACGAACACTTGGAAGAACATACGGTTTGCCATTGTCATCCCTATAAGCGCCAGCGCCCAGATTAATTTTTTTTTGATTTTGATCTCTTTTATATGCCTCAGTGACACCCAGAATGGCATCTGGCGGTCCCATTTCAACATGAGACCACCATGAACTGTAACATATGTTTTTTAAATAAACTGTAATTATCATTACAGTTATCATTAGTTTATTTGATTTCATATCAAGAAGATAAAAATTTTATCTTTCAAGGACATTATAAGTTAAAAGCAACAGAATTTGAGAATTTAAATTTATAAAAGATAATTTTTTACCTCAATTAAAAAGAACTCAGATGTTTCTTTCTATACTTGTCCTTTTGTTTTTTTATGACTTTTAATATATAAATTAAAGTAGATACACATTTAAATATTTACAATTACATAATTAAATTAATTGATCTTGCTGTGCTGATTCTTAATACTTTTCTGTAATTTGACTGTATATCTTGAAACCTTAATTAAAAATAAATAAGCCCTGAATAAAATTGAAACTCCAAAATTTCGATAGAGATAACGATAATACAATCGAATCTTCAATGGAAAAAGCGTGAAGCTGGGTAATTGTACGAAGGTCAAAAGGTCATTTATTTCAGATAATCGAACGGCAAAAGTTCACCTGGAGGATCTTGCGGCCATCGAGAAGGGATTATAGACACTTTTTAAGAAATTGCCATTTGTCACGAGCAGTCTTGTCGTGTGTGCCATTTGAAGTATAATCCTTTGCTTTCTAAACGTCGAGAACAAGTGTTAACCTTAAATGATGCCGAACTCCGAATTCGACTGGATCTAGGACCGGTGCTGAGAGAAAGAGATTCCGAATTTTGAGACTATATATTTGACTATAACAAGACTGACTGACTGACTGGAACGGTTCACGAAACGGCAGTCACATGATCAATACGAAATCGCGCGGAATACAAGGTTATCGCAGATTTATATTTTCGCAATCGTGTGTTATCGATGCTTTATCAGCGTGTTGTCAACGTAGAAATTATTTTCTTTATAATTACTTTTTGTTTCGCACATAAAGTACGTCATAATCGTTTTGCTGTGTGATATGGCAAACAATCAAGCTTGAAAAAAGTTGATACAAAACAATTCATGGATCGTGTTCGATGCGCGGCAATTTTAGCCTTTTTTACTCGTAGTTAAATCTTTTTTTTAATGAATTTTCAGTTTACTTAAATATTTCTTTAATTCTTAAAAACGGTAGTTTCTCTCTCCATCGGTTTTTATTATAAAAGCTCTTTAATATTTTTTCCTAACCTAATAAGAGCTTCTAACTCTAACCTAAAAATACTTTGGTAAATATTCGACTTAGCTTCACGTTAATTGTCCGATAATCTTGTTTGCAGACTTGTATAAAAAAACTTTTGAAGCTAACATTATGATAAAATATTTGTGAAGAAAACGATTGTCTGTGCATGTAATAAACTGTGGAGAAAATGATAGAATCGACCGACAAGAAGTTACTTTATAACACTGTGCTATCACAAACATTCTCACCCGATGGAAATTATCTTCTAGCTGGCAATATTTATGGGGACATTTCAATATTTGAGTAAGGAAATTTTTAAATAAGGAATTGTGTTTCCAGTGTATATAATGTATAATATATTGTTGCAATAATCATGCAATTTTCTGCAAAAAAAATTGAAAACAGTTAAAATGTGTACATACCGCTTAATTTTTTTAAATTAGTTTATTTGTAAATTAATTTAATAATTTTTTAATTTTTAAATAGTCTTCCAAAGGCCTTAGGGCCTAACAAAGTAGAAGAGAATGATTTACAAGGACCTAGTTATCGCTTTGCTGCACATCCTGATCAGGAAGTAGCATGTATGCTTTCTGTGGAGAATTTTCTTGTGATAGGAACACGTGGTGAAATATCAGGATGGGACTGGAAATTAGTTACATCAAATAAGGCTCCTAAGAGTAAAGTGTCATGGAATATACAAATTCCTGCTAATAAGTAAGTGAGACTAAAAGAATATAATTAAAATAAAATGTATTAAAAATTGTAATATATTTAGAGAGAGAGAGAGAGAGAGAGAGAGAGAGAGAGAGAGAGAGAGAGAGAGAGAGAGAGAATAAACTTTGTATATTTATCTTTTAAGAATAAAAAAATAAAATACATATTTTATTTCAGAGACAATTACGATAAGCCAGACATAAATTATATGGTGTATTCAAAAATGAATAATTTACTATACGTTGGTTGTGGTGATAATAACATTTATGTCATAAATTTAGAAAACAGAAAGATTCTGAGAAGCATGCAGGGTCATACCGATTACATACACTGCCTTGCCATGATGTAATTATTTTTTGATCGGGCTGTGAAATATACTGCACAAAAGCTTATGCTAGTTACTATTTCTATAATTTAGATTTCTGTGACTTAGGGATAATCAGCTTGCATCCTGTAGCGAGGATGGTTCTGTAAGATTATGGGATTTGCGCAAAAAGGAAAACACTAATATAATAACGCCTCATTTAATAGACAAAGTCGCTCGACCACGGTTTGGAAAATGGATTGGTGCCGTTGATTTTACAGAAGACTGGTTGGTAAGTATAACGATAACAATGATATATTTATCCGAAATTTAAAGAAAGGAAGGATATTAAACAATGAAAAAAATGAATATTTTATCCAAATTAATATTTAATTACATTCTGATTATAATAATTCTAGCTATGTGGTGGTGGACCTAGTTTATCATTGTGGCACATGCGAACGATGGAGGTAGCGACAGTTTTTGATCTGGCTGATCAAGGAATCCATGTAGCAGAGCTCTATGAAGAACGCGTGATTGCTGGGGGTACGACCGATCATGTTCATCATATGACATATCAAGGTGATATTTTAGCCAAAGTACCCACTTCAAGTCTTACAGTCTATAGTGTAGTGCATCAAGAAACGCCACATAAAGTACTTAGTGTTGCTGGTTCTTCAAATTGTATCGACATTAGTACAAATTACAATTACCGCGAAATGACACTCAAATTTGCATAATAATTATTATTCGGAATTTCATGTTACAAAATAGGAATTTAATTTTCCAATAAGGATTTTTGGAATAAGAAATAGTTTGGATGAACGAATTAAATATAATTAATTTACGATTTTTAAAAAATAAATATATTAATAAAGTATACATTTTTTATATGATACGATTCTTTTATACAAATATACAAGCGATATTTGCGCAATGAAATGCAAAAATAGATATACACATGTTTATATCATTATCTCCTTATAATTATACTTCTTATATACCCTTTTTTTCTTTATAGGAAAATATAGAATAAACGTGAAAGTTTATCTGTATTTGCCAAAGAATTTTGACAACTTTTTTGTAATTGCCAAGTATCAAACATAAAATAACAAGTCTTTTTCGCACACTTTCCTTTTCTCTGCCTTTTATTTATAAATTTAAAAAATTTATATATAATATTTAATAAAAAAGAATATATTTTTAATTATAATTAATATTTCTTTATAATTAAATACTGAATTTGTAATATCACACTTGTGAAACTATGTGGTAACTGTGGAATATTCCGTTTATCTAATACATAAAGAATTCTTTTAAATATAATACAATTATATTTATAAAAATAAACAAAAATTCTGTATATCATAATTACAAAATTAACTGTTAATGTGAATTTACTCAAGTAAATTTGGCAGTATTTAAGGATATTGCTTTGAGAGTGCGATATCATTTCTTCACAAATTTTGTAAACGATTTGTTAACATTAAATAAGTATCCCTCGGATCAGAGAAAACCATGACCGGCGATGACTGCAGGGATAAATCCCTCTTTGCCATCTCTGGAACGTACCCAGAACCAGTCGTTCGTATGATCGCTCAACAAAGCGACCACATCGCCTTTCGAGACTGTCAACGCGTTTGCGGCATGCGCCTCGTAATCATTCCTAATCACCAGGAGTGTGTACCGCGAGCCTTTTGTGCGTGCGTTTGCTGCTGCCCTCAGATACAATCGATCGACACTACGTTCACCGCATGCCGACACTGCGTCTCTTGGTCCTCGCCTCATTCTACCGCTGCGTCCACGACTTGCCCCGCACTCAGATCTAGTATCACGCAGTTTCTCCATGTCCGTCATGTTTCCTGAAGAAAATAAAAACAGTTAAAAAAAATTGAAAACTTAATGAAGTATCTTATTTTAAGTATTTGTCTATTTGAAAAAAAAATTACAAACTTTCAAGGACTCTTAGTATAACAATAATTAATACAAATAGAAAGGGCGATGTAAGAGTCAAGTTAAATTTCATTTAAAAATAATACAATGTATATATTTAATTTTAAATTTAAAAAATAATAGAATATAAATATAAAACAATATATAAAAAAAATAGAATATCAAAAATTACTTAAATTATTCTAATTACTTTATTTCTCAACATATTACAAGATTTATTTTATAGTTTTATAAGAACATTCCGTTTATACCTAATGGTCGAGGAAAAACATCAGTGGAATCTTCCCAGCATGGTCCTCGTGTAGGTTGCGGCAAGATTCCTAAGGGTAAACAGGCAGCGTAGCCGACGTAACCCTCCTGCCCGTGAGGCGTTTGCACGTATAGCCAAGTTTGATTTTTGAAGACGGCATTCACAACTGTACCAAGAGGAAGAGCCATTTCGTCCTGTATACCGCCTTGAGTCTGATATAATACCGATGGGAAAGACAGGACAACTGGTATATTTGCTGGTCTTTCTATAGATGCCTACGATTTAAATTATACATATATAGATATAAACACAAGATATATTAATTCTATAAAGGATAACAAGGTTTTAGAATTGTAGGAGAGATAAAAAATAAAGATAAGGATAACCTTCGTTAGAAACGCGTCAAGATCGGCGATCTCGTAGCCGAATCTGTTGGGTAGTCTAGGTTTGTGCGAACGTTTGGTCCGCCGATGTCGGTGCTTCTCTCGTCCATTGGGTGTCGATGTTGATTCACGAGATACTAGGGAAGGCTCGGATACCGCTCTCTTTACTTTCTCCTTTTCTTTCGTATTTTTAAGACCAATAAATTCTTTGTCAAAGTGCCTCTCCAGAGGATTATCCAACTGTTTTTCACCGATCATTTCTTTATCAACAGTCTTAAAACAAATATTTGAAAATAGTAAAAGAGATACTCGTTAAATTCGAAATTAATAAACTTAGGATAATAGGAGAGTTTATGTAAAAGAAAGTTTATATACCCCGGATTATATAAAGTAAGTATTAAATATTACCTTTTCGATTCTTTCGATCTTTTGAAGCCTGTGCAAAATCTTCTCGCGCTTTTCGATGCTCTCTTTGTTTTCGATATTTTCCTTGCTAGCAGCGTCTTTGTCCTTAATACTTTTAACGCTTCTTCTCGAAGATCTCTTGCTGCCTCGCGAAAAAGCGTCTCGATCATTGTTTGTACCTTTCAAAGAAACACTGCGTAATTCCACTAACAACGTAACAAGATAATATAATATTGTATATATATATATATTTCTATGTTAAAAATAATAATAATAAATTAAAGCAATTGTTTTATTGATACAACTATTTGATATCATTATTATCAATATTAGTCTCAAAATAAATGACAAATAATAGACAAAAGATGATTTTTCACCTCCACTGCCGTTAATGGTCGAATAGCTGTTGGGTCCAGGACCCAAGTTAGATTGTTGTTGGCCGCGCAAAACCCAAGTTAACGAGATTCTGGGACGTAACAAGGTGCTCGAGCGTTGCCCCATGCTCGTCGACGACGCGACGGACGTCGGGGCTCTCGAGAGTGATGGCGATCTCGAGTCACCCGTCACGACCTGCAACGGGCAGTCCGCCACCAGGTCCACCGTCTGCACCGAACAGCCATGCTCCTGGAAAATACATTTTCCACATTAGTCTCGATCATAATTTAATAAAGGAGATACATGAATAATACACTGAAATTACAAATCTTATTTTTAATAAAAACCTTTTTTTATTAATTAAAATTTTGAAAATTGTTTAAATACAGGATACCTATAATTATAAAAAGAAATTAAACTGTAGCAAGCTATAAAAAATAATCTAAAAATTAAATAAGTTTATTGTTTGTTTGCTTGTTTGCTAAACAATGAATATAATTATATTTTTTTTAATTTTTACTTATAACGCTCGCTATAATTTAATTTTTTTTTAATCATCATAAATATGCTAATGAACTCGTCTGATTCTTCTAGTTCTCTCCTTACATTTTCCGGTTGAATTAATAATCATGAAACGCGCGCGCGCGCGCGCGTGTAATGCTATATAATGTCATGTGATATTTTTTTTTATTAGTGTCGCATCCCTGCATTTCTAGAACGTGCCTAGCCATTCGGAACGAAGCTGAAGCAGGAAACTAAGATGCGATACACTTCTTTTATATTTTTTACATCCTTTAAGAAAAAGAGATTTTTGTGAAAAGAATCCTTTTCTTATGCATTTTCCTACTCGTTTACTTATACATTTTCTACTGATTTTTAGGCTCTTGCTATTCTTATCTTTAAAAAATATGTACTGTATAAATAAATTAAAAATATATGTAAAAAATAATTTTAATCTAAAATTATAGAAGAATGTGAATATTTACATATGTAATACTAATCTCTTCTCTAATTCTAAATTTAATATTAAATATTAAAAAATTTATATTAAATTTTTTGAAAAGAAAATTGTAATTTTATCTCAGTAGTCATCCTTCATAAGAAAAACAACCAAAATTTCCGAAAGAAATCCGGATAAATACTGGATTCTTATTATGTCAACTCAGTGGAGAAGCTATCTCCTCGTTCGCGCAGAAAGTGGATTATTAATGCATCTCATAGGCATTTAATTAACCCGCATGGCTAGTCATCGAGATGAATTATTTGGCGAGGCAATCGTGGAGTTCCGGCCGTGTTTTACCGCGCCGTTGGAAATTTACGGTTGTCGCTTCTTTTTCATGCACGAATAAATTTCTAAGTTTATATATTAATTTTAAGCTGATATCAACTTTTATTATATATGCAGCTGAAAAATTGCAAATATAAATATCTTATAGAATATTAATACTGATCACTTGAATTTTATTCATATAATACAATGATATTATATGAATAAAAAGCAAATTTTTTTAAGCAATTAATTTGTTTTTAAATGTTTTTCTAAAAATGTTTAAAAATAAATTCTTTTTATACAAATTGTATTGTCTTTTTATATTTTATACTTTATATTGATTATATATATCGTATGATACCTTGTAGGAGATTCTATCATTAACTGATGGAGCTAGGACAGCAGGATCTTCCCCTGAAACAGTCACAGCTTCCGTTTCCTCTAATTGATAATCAATCTCGCTACTCCAAGAATGTCGCCTTTTCAAATCTCCTAAAAAATACAAAATAATACTCAATTTTAAAAACTAATTAAAAAAAAAAGAACAAGTTTTAAAACAGCGAGAATAAATTTTTTCCAAGATGTATAAAACAACAAATTACTATTTTTAATCCTGTATATATATTTTATATAATTATTATTATATTGTAGAAAATAATTAAGGAGGAACACCAGGTTGACGACCGAAAAAAAGACTCTTTTTGTGAATTTTTTTTGAAAACTGATAGCTTGTATGAATTATTGTTTTTATATATACAAAGTATATACATTTACGAAATTATTTAAAAAAATTCATTGAATAATATTAATATTTGTAGTTTCAGTACTCTTTGATGTGGGAGCTCTGAAATAAATTTTTTTTATTTTATTTTAAAGTATATGAGTGTAGTTTCAGTTGCACGTACGGATTTTTTGATAAAATAATTTTAGCCAAAATGGCGCTGTTTTAAAAAAAAAGGTCACGATTTTGCGACAAAAAATCGTTATTTTTTAAATTGTTTTTCAAAAACTAATGATCCGATTGAAAAGAATGAAAAGTTCGTACGTGCAACTGAAGACAATTTCGTTGTAAACATTCTGTCCAAAATTCAAGTCATTTGAATAAAAATTTGCCGAGATATATAAAGTTACGAAAGCGCGATTTCGAGAAAAACACGTTTAAAGTTTTACAACCGATTAGTTTATATAAAACGATAAAATTTTGTAACAAACCAAAGTGCGTCCAATCCGGGTGCATATGAAGTATTCACGACTGAAGCACACAGGTAACAAAAGAATACTGGTAAAACTGCAGATCAAGGGGACTGCTGAATGTTTTCAGGTAGCGCGCGACTGACTCTCCTAGCTAGCGGCATATTTTACTATTGTTCCGTTAGGAATTTCAACATAATATTATAGGGACATATTTTTAAGACTCCAAGCATTACAAAAATGCAAAAAAAAATCGATTTTTTTTAACTCGTCACCCTGATGTTTCCCCTTAAGTAAAAACGTATATATACAAATAAAATGACAAAAAAGATTTCGATAAAATCATTAAATATTTAAATATTAATAACAATTTTTAATTCTGCACTCGTATATGTTTTAATAAAAGTTGAGAAATGTAATTGTTTACTTTTCCGATAAAATCAGACAAGATATGTCATAATAGAAATTATAAAATATTAGATCGGCCAAGGATAATTTTTATATATTGCGTGCCTCGATCACTTCGCGTTCCCTTCGAAGCCAAGGATCTCGAAAAACATTTCGGGGCCTTACACGCACGGAGATAATGGACGAGAGAATAAGCTCTCTGCTTAAACACAGTATTCGAGTCCTGTGACTTATGGGATTCGATCGGATGCGGCGTAGGGCCCGTAGGGGGGACCTCAACCTACGAATTTGCTCGTTTACCCGTATCAGCGGAATGCTGTGGTGATGCGATGGAAGACCCTTTCCACCATGGGAAGCGAACGAGCGATCGTGGCCGCCGCGCTAAGATTTATCGATCTCGATCGCGCGATTCAAATGTCGATTACGTCAGTGTGCTGAATCTACGATCAAGTGAGAATATGATGAGCAAGAGTTCTTAGTTTGTTTTTTTTATACTGCGATATTCTCTGCATGACGCGCTATTGTAGATTTCAGTATTGCATTACAATATTGATATCAAAGTATATTTTATTAAATTAATATTTTTGATTTAACATTATATTAATAATAACCTCCAATATATCATAGATTTTAATATTAAATTAATTATTGAATTACTATAAAATTCATATATTATAACATTAATATTGAAACGATATCCCTGGAATGATGTATGTTTCAGTATTGACGATGCATTTGTATGCATCCAGACGATAATGTTGAACGATCCGATTTGCACGTGATCAGCGAGCACGTGTACCGCTAAGTGGCTGTCGGTGACACGCGCGTAACTTTTAGCATAGGCGTGAATATTGCCAAAAGCTTTTGAGAAAAGATCATAATTATTTTTTTTTAATTGTCATGTGTCTTTAACTGTACAAAAATTAACTTTCAAATACTTTATCTCGTAAGAAATAATATGTATAAGATTAGTTTAGAAATGAAACTGACAATTACAGAATTAGGCAAATTGAAACAGTATTAATATAATTTCCAGAATCAAAGTTCACGAAATCGAAGTTTTTATCGCGTGACAAAAGTAATTTTACAACAGAAGAGCTTGGTATCATTGTTCATTTATTGTACATTACTATACTTTTTCTGTATATAATTTTAGAAAAATCTAGAGCTAGAGCAAATAACGCTAAGATTAATTCTCTAGAGAGATATATATGATGAATCGTGTTTACCTATATAGGCTTCTTTATCCCACGAGAATGAAAACACATCACAAAAGATTACCGAGAGTTCCTTTCACGGCCCGTAATGAACTCCTCAGCTTTCTCATAAACGTAGGTACAATTCAATTCAAGCCACAATAAATCCTCGTTATCCCTGATACCCGCTGCTATCCGGTGAGCTTTTATCAAGTTTCTTCGACACGGTCGAAAGATACGAGAGCGACTTTCCGTGTCTACCATCATTGTCGAACATCGTTTGACAGATGACGTCTGTGTATTGGCAAGAGAAAAAAGCTGCCGGGTAGGATAGGAACGAGAATTACCTGAACTATGCGACGGCTTCCGCTTCTTTGGCTCGCCGTTTGAGCGCGAAAACTCATTAACATTTAGCTGCTAATCATCACGTTATCGTCGAGATCACTTGCAAGAAGCGTTGATGTCGCTGCCAAAGATTCAATACCCGCATGATAAAGATATCATGCTGTCAAGCGATGTCTCGTTTCACGCCATGCTGCATCGTGCGATTATATCTCGATATTTTTATTTCTGTAGTGTGTATTTTTTTATCCTCTTTATGTTTTTACATTTGATCAAGACGACGTAGATGTGAGAAATCTTCTCAGAAAATCCACTGAACTCACAACGATACTTGTGCATATATTAGCGTTTACGTTATAAGTTATAATACAAGATCAAGCAAACTAAAGATCTTGTGATATAACATTTTATCTCGATATCTTTTAATAATTTGTTATATTTAATTTATGTTAGATATTTAGAAAATCAATATCTCTAATTGATATTTTCTTGTAATTTCACGCTTTCACTACTTATACATTAATTCATACACATAACTATTTGTGTGATTTAGTATAACACGTTACTTGTACAGATTTAATATCTGATTGATCTTCACATTACTTATACACTCAAAATCTTTCCTTATATTTTCAATCTTTCGACTCTTTTACACTGAAATCCTTTTAAACATTTCCTTTAAAAAATTGCTTTTTAACAATTTTGCACTCACATTGACTAGAGATTGTCTTCTTCGAAAATAGAAGATATAAACCGAGAAAAGATGATCGAAAAAATAATTGAAAGAAAGTGAAAAAAATGCGTTTTTCTGCACTTTTCATCGATTGTTGGACACTGACAGCGAGATAGCAGGTGCGCTTACAGATTCACCCACAGGTGCAGCTCTGACTAGACTAAACGTGCTCGTTGCGGTGCGCCGAGTAGTACTCTAGGCGAGAAGAAAGATCCGGGGAGAGAAAGCGGGATCAAGAGGAAAAGAGAGAGAAGGTAATATCCAGTGCTTCGATTGGTCCATGCTTCCCGCGAAAACGGCTCGTCCAATCGCCGTGACCGCGTAATTGTCGGCTATCAGGCATCGCAAAAACGACCCCGACTTAGGCCTCGAGTCCCACGAAGCCGCCCCTTCGACTGATGTTCATCCGATGAACACGCACTTCCCTCGGCACTCAGTTTCCCTCACGACTCGTTCCAGTGAAAATACCGTTGTAAATATTGTTGCTAAAAAGTAGAGCAATGTCTCCAGCGAAACTATATAAATATGCTGTTATTAATCAGCTGTTTTAATTAAATATAAAAATGTAAAATAATAGATATATTTTTTATATTTTATTATATCATAATTTTTAGCTTTTACAATCAAAAGTTCTTGGAAGAAAACTATGTAGTATAAGTCGAATGTCTTTTATTTGGATAATTTATATTGGATAATTAATTTAAAGATTTTATACAATATCTAGTATTATTGTAATTGTTATATTTTATTATATTAATTTCAACTTGATAAATTTAATAAAAAGTACATTACCATTGAAAAAGCTTCAACGTCTCTTTGCTTTTGCTTGCGGAAAGCAAGAGAAGTTTCTACTTTGTTACACACTTCGAAATTACAACATTTTGCTTCTCGTCGCTCATCTTCGTGTATACTTATCCTGGTATAATTTATAATTTCACGATTTTTATGAGATTCGCGCCCTGACATCTCTCGTCATACCCGAACGAATGAATAACTCTTTCGCGCGAGAGAGAAGAGGGAGGATGGGCGGTTCATAAGTGGCGGGTCGATGAGACGCAGCGGGGTGAGGAACCGAGGTGGAGGAGGGCCCAGCGACCTCTGACCCCCTTGGGAACCGTGAGGAGCCCGAGGGCAATGTGCGGCCGAGAAAGGGACTCGAGAATCCGACCGGGACCCACCCGACCCAAAATACTTGCACGCTGGTTACATCGCCGCCGGCGTAACCACTGGCGAACCTGACGGGGCTCAACCTATCACGAATTAATTCGTCGCGAGAAACAATCGGCTTCTAGAGAGTGTCGATGTGTGTGCATAAGCTACATTGACATGATGAAAAGAAAAGTAGTATTATAAACAGCAGAAAGCAACGTATAAGCGAGCAATGTTAACATACAACTTATGAAATGTGTGGAAGTCTCCAGTTGAAGTCTCTCCAGTTTTTCCGACCGATACGATTATAGACCGCACATCTATTCTTATAAATAGCTACAGGTATTGGCTCTCATCCTGATTGGCGCGTACATATTTTCGCCTTGATCCTGGGCGAGCAAGGATTTAAGAGGAACGAGAAACGAGCGAGGCGCAGAAAGCGCGCGAGCGTGTAATGGTGATTGAATGCGGCTAATGGCTGTTCTGTACGGGACTTTTCATACAGCCCCGCCAAGATATACGTTATGACCGTGGTATAACATTTACCGGGTGGTAAACAGCCACGCATAAACTTCAACTTGAGTCTTCTTTCAAGACGGGGTAAAGAGGGAGTTAGGGAAAGAGAACGTGTTCATCGTCGACCTGATTCTCCGTCACCTGGAGAACGCAGTTCGAGAAACTCGAGAGATAGCTCCGTCTTCGCGTTAAACGATAACGGCCTTACGGGAATAGAGATAAGAATGTTCTCACTAAGAGACTTCATGAGAAATATTCAACTTTGTAGTGTTAAGATTTGAAATTTTAAGAGAGTCAAATTATACTTCATGCATTTTAACTATCAACTTAATTTATGAATTTACACATTTTATTCAATATTAAAATAAATGCCTCCTTTTTTCTTCTTTTTTTTTTTTAAGAGAAGGATTAAAGCTCACTGCAGCCATTTTGGATTGAAATTAAAATAAAAAATACACAAAGGAAATTTTTGCAAACTACATGCATTAAAATGGTTTTCTCGCTTCTAACACCATCAATCTGAGGATTCGTGGTAAATAGT